GGGTCCCGTGGGGCAATATTGCGAGGATGTCTCGAGCGAGAGCGCTGGATGGGGACGCGCCCGGCGCAACGCTGTAAATTGTCCTTGGGGGTGCGCTGGGGGCCCGTGGGGCGATGTTGCGAGGATGTCTCGGGCGAAAGCGCCGGATGGGGATACTCCCGGCGAAGCGCCAGAAATTGTCCCTGGGGGGGGGCGCTGAGGGTCCGTGGGGCGATGTTGCAAGGATGTCTCGGGAGGAAGCCCGATGGGGACATTCCCGGCGCAGTCCGTCCCAGCCCTCGTCCAGACCCAGGAAGGGACGGGGGGGGGTAGACCTCCCCGAAAGAAATGTGTTTTTGGAAGGGGAAGAGAATTCCGTAGACCACACTCGCCCGAAGGGAATGTGGGATTATGGGCATCTGCGCGTGACCACCTCCCGTGCTCGAACAAATGCTCCACCCGCCGATCCGCAGTTCGGCGGCAAAGCTCAACAGGCGCAGTGACTCGCGGACCCTGCTCATGCAGATCCACGACTTGGGTGGGCGAGTGATAATGGGGATGACGACATCTGCGACGCCGACGACGACGACGACGACGATGACGATGATGATGATGATGATGATGATGATGATGATGATGATGATGATGATGATGATGATGATGATGATGATGATGATGGTGATGATGGTGATGATTGTAATTACCATGGTGAGGATGACGGTGATGATGATGAGGACGATGAGGATGCTGCTGCTTATGATGGTGGTGGTGGTGGTGATGATGATGAAGATCGTGATGGCGGTGGCGATGATGAGGGTCATGGCATTGATGGTGACGATGATGAAGGCGTTTTGTTTGTTTGTTTGTTTGTTTGTTTGTTGGTTCGCCTGTTTGGTTGTTTGTTTGTTTGTTGGCTTCTTTGTTGTTGAATTTGTGTGTATATGTTTATATACACATACACACGTGTGTGTGTGTGTGCGTCTATCCGCCGGACCAGTCGCCCTCTGTCCAGCCGCTCCCGCACAAGTGTGTGTGTGTGTGTGAATGTTCCAACATCTGTGTTGAAATGCTCCGACCACCATGGGTTTTGGACGAATTTCGACGTGTGCGCGTGGAGACTCGCGCGCGTGTTCCATATTTGTATCATTTGATTGATTCGGCGGGTGTGCGAGGGGTATTCAATCTATTCGACAGGCGCATGCGTGTCTGGCCCGCGTGGTGCCATCTGACGGAGCGACAACAACCAAATTGTTGTCCCATAGGTATTCAAGTGCGCGCGCGCAGAACTCTTGCATTTGTTGTTGAATAGACTAATTGTTGTTGTTGTTGAACAGATACGTCGGGACGCTGTTAGGACGCATGTTTAAAACTTGGTTTAACATGCGCTCGGGGGCGCGCGCATGTGGCCCGCAATTCTTAGATCAACGCATGTGCACCGCATCGGTTTTTGCAGAACATTTTCTTGGGGGGAATGCCGACTTTGCTGGGATGATTCCGCCCGCGGTGCTTGTACCGAGCTTTTTTTTCTGTGCCCCGAAGGAATTGGATGGGTCAGCCGAGGTTTCGCCACGTTGCCGCCCATGGGCGCCTCGAGGACGCCCCGTGCGCTGGGTCCTCCGACGTTGCCGCCCGCGGGCGCCTCGTGTGCACCCTGTGCGCTGGGTGGGTCCGCGGACGTTAGCCACGTGCGCTGGGTGGGTCCGCCGAGGTTTCGCCACGGTGCCGCCCGTGGGCGCCTCGTGGGCGTCTCCTACGCTTGGTAGGTCCGCCAAGGTTTCGCCGCGTTGCCGCCCGTGGCCGCCTCGTGGGCGCACCGTGCGCACACCGCAGTTCACATCACACAGATTGGACCACATAGCTTACACCTCGTAGCTCATGCTAGATAGTGTGCCGCGTAGCTTACATTGCGTAGCTCACATATCATAGCTCATTCCACATATATGACACCCCATAGTTTACACACTGTGCACGCCACACATACTGCACTGCGTAGGTAGCACCCCTTAGATTGCCCACATAGCTTGAACCACATTGCTCACACCACGTACGTTCTCCTTTCAGAAGAAGAATATACTCTACCGTCCCCCTCTCCAGGGTTATCGGCCTCCCTGAGACACTGCAAATTACATCTGGCTCTGCCTAATCGACCACCTCCAACATGAATTCGTACCATTCCAAGCCAACCAGTATCGATCCCCCCATCCCAGTTAAATAATTCTATGCGCGCGCATTCGTTTATTGCAAGAGGTCACGTTTGAAGGGTCCCTTGCAGCAGCAAATGGCACAAAATCCGCACGCGCGCGCATGTCGAAATTAGACCAAGCACACAGTTCTTCCAAGTCTCTCAATCTCAACACGTAAAACATGTGTATGTTTTTTCCATAACAGATCTTGTAGGTCTTCTGCCCGCGCACATTTGCCGAAGTCGCAGGACCACTACATGATATTAGCAATCTTTTCCAGAACCTGGACTCTCACCCCACCACGCCGTGCATCCGCGTTGACCCGGCATGCGCCCAGTGCACGAATCCGTATCGAATAATACCATGCGCTCCACACGCACGCGTCGCCACGCGCGTGTCGGAATCCTTTCAGAACCATTGAATTCCGAAGCCTTTCAAGATATAGCTGTTCAACAAGATAAGTATTCACGTGTTTTTCAACAATCAGTTTGCCAGGGTTCTTGTATTTACGCGCGCGACACTTCCTATTCGTCATCCTCACCAGCGCGCCGCATCACGTCATCGTCATCGGCAAACGTAGCAATTGCCGCCATCACCACTCAAGCACCTTCATTACGGACACATGGATATTATCATCGTCATCGTTTTCAACAGCATCGGCGCCTTCATTGGCCATGGCGTCGTCATTGTATCGTCATCATCGTTACCACCATCGCAATTGTCATTCTCGTGCCCGTGATTGTCGACGTCATCATGGTACCGTGCACGCCCGAGCCGGGGACCCGCATTGAAGTGCTCCCATCGCCACTGCGGCCTGGAAGGCGCGCTTGGAAATTGCCATCGGTAAGCGCCATCGCGGCCGCATCGGTTGCGCCAAACCAGCTGGCCGTTGCGCGCGCCAGCGCGGCCGCGGAAATGCGCCAGCCAGGGCCAAGCAGTCATCGCAATCGTGGCCTCATGGGTTTTGCAAAACAAGTTGCGGGTTTGGAGCGAGGGTGGGATGATTGCGCGTATAATTCATGAAATATTGCACCAGGTATATTGCACTATATAATTTTTACTGTTACGTTGCTCATACCACTTATACTGCACCACGTCGCTGGCACCGCATGGCTCGCATCACACCTGCCCCGCCCATATTGCGCCACATAGCTTGCACCGCACAGCTCGCACCAGATAGATCACACATCATGGATCACACTACATCTCGGATAGAACTACAGTGCAACATGGCACTGTTAATGGAGCCGCGCTGGCAACCATACCAATTGATAGCCAGGATGAACGACCGTAAAGGATAAGCTGGTGTACGCAATACGCGGAGGGAGACCGACAACCCTGGCCTCGGGGTGGGGGTCGAGGGTCAGGGTTTTGTTGTTTATATATGTTTACATGAATGCATACCTTTGACAACTACCATGAAGTCTATTTCTCGTGCAAGCATCCCATCCTCCCACCCGCACATAGTTGACAACATTCAGGCATGCCGTGAGAGACGTGAACCCCCTGGAAGTTGCTAGCTCATGTCAAGCTGCGCGGTGACGCGCTTACTTAGCTCATGCAGATCTATGGCTCGGATGGTCGAGTAATGGTGATGACGACATCGGCGACGACGGTGATGATGATATTGTGGTGATGGCGGCTGCTATGATGACGCGGGCGACAACATCGATGATGACGACGGTGGTGATGATGACGCTGACGATGCGGATGATGATGTGGATGAATGATGACGCTTGTGATGGTGATGAGGACCATGTTGATGATGATAATGAGGAAGTGCGCGCGCAGAAATTCGCATGGATGTTCATTGCAAATCCTTCCTTTTTTCATGTGAGTGTGCTGAACACGGCCGTGTTGAAATGCTCAGATGGGCGATGGTCTGGACAGACTTCGAGGTGCCCGCGCGGGGACGCGCGCGTGTCGGCCGCATGGTTTTCTCGACAGGGTCGGAGGGCGCGCGAGGGGTTTTTAGATGTTTTCGGCAGGGGCGTGCGGTCGGCTGGCATGATTTCAGTTGGCAGAATCGCAGCACGCACATGGTTCTCGTATGATTTCGGCGAGTGCGCGCGCTCGCAGAAACATTTTTTGTTTGTTGAACAGACCACGGGTTTCTATGTCGTGAAATGGTCTGGGAGCCAGTGTTTTACTGCTACTGGTATGCGCGCGCGGGGTCGCGCATGTGGCCCGGATTTTACTATTTGTCCGGATGTGGTTGCGACACGCATTCTTTAATTAGCGCATGTGTATCTGATTTTCGCCAGAGGCGGTGCAGGGGGCGGGGGGTAGGGCGGGGGAAAGTGGGCGATGCCGGCTTAGCTGGGATGGCTCACCAGATCGATAGGACGACAAATTTTGTAATTCGAATACGAAAAATAACATGCGGAGGGGAACCGATCACCTTGGCGTTGGGGTGAAGGGAGTCTCATTCTTCTTCGGAGAAGGAATATCTGCGGTGCAATGTATGTGATGCAATCTTTGTGATGCGCTCTATGTAGCAGCAGCCTAGTGCGCGAGGCGGCAACGAGGCGGCGACTGGTGAGCACCTGGGCAGAAACCCGGAAAAGCCAGCCAGCGCACGTTGCGGCGACAAGGCGGCGACAGGCAGCCGCTGGACGCAAACCCGGAAAACCCGGTCCGTGAACGGGGTAGTCACGAGGCGGCGACGGCCAGTCTACTCCACTTCCTCGCCCTCCAGCTCATCCTTCCTTTGTAGATCTCTGCTTATGCTGCTCCTCCCCCTCCTGCTCTGGCTCTCCGCGTTTTTTCTTTCGCTTCTCCTCGCATCCATGCCCATGTCCAAATACTGTAAGCGGCACACTATCGCGGTGGCTGGAGGCTTGCTCTGGGTACCTACACCTCACAGGCGTCCTGCCTGCATGCGTGCGGGGCCTAGTTCGGCAGTTCGCAGGCAGATGGTCTTGCGGGGATCAGGCTCATGAGAGGATGGAGGACGACAGGGGGATGAGGAAACGGTCAAGTAGTGATGATTAGCAGTCGTAGCATTCCCTGGCCCTAGGTATGCACTTACTACTGGTGTGTGTGTGAGTGTGTTGTCAGTATTCTCTCGCCTAGCCTGCCTGTGTTTTGTGTGCTGAAACGTCGGAAGATCTTATTTTGGCAGGCTGTTGAGACGCGAACTTCCCTGGCCGAGGGGTCTTAGGAGCACGTCGTGGTCCTGGAAGTTGTCGTCTCATGATCAAGCCGAGTGATGGCGCAGGAATCGGGCCGTTTCAGCAGCAACTTAGGGCAGCTACCTCTATCAAGCATGTATTGATGTAGTCAAGCGGGAGCCACTGGAACTAGCAGTAGTAGCAGCAGTGGCACGAAAGTTGCTATGACCCCCCAGTCAGTACTACTTGCACTGAGGGGTTCCTGCTTGTCTTCCGGAGCCAGCGGGTTGGTTCCCCCGGGGTTTCGCCCGGTGCCCGCCAGTGGAAACATTTCTGGGCGCTCCTCTTTCTCCTCCTCCTCCTCCTCCTCCTCCTCCTCCTCCTCCTCCTCCTCCTCCTCCTCCTCCTCCCCCCGGTGCCCGCCCGTGGGCGCCTCGTGCGCTGGCTGGGCTCGCCAGGTTTCTCGCCCCTGGTGCCCCGCCCGCGGGCGCCCCGTGGGCGCGGCCCCCGTGCTCCGAGAGGTCCTCGGCGGGGCGCTGCCCCCCGTGCCTTCTCGCCCGGTGCCCCGCCCCTGGGCGCCGCCCCTGGGCGCCTCGTGCCCGCGGCTGGCCTCTCCAGTGGTACACGTAGGCTCCCTTGTAGGCTCCCTCGTCGCCGTCGTCGTCGTCGCCGTCGTCGCCGTCGTCGTCGTCGTCGTCGCCGCCGCCGTCGTCGTCGCCGCCGCCGTCGTCGTCGTCGTCGTCGTCGTCGTCGTCGTCGTCGTCGTCGTCGTCGTCGTCGTCGTCAATCTCGTTGCCGTCTTCGTCGTCGGCGTCGTTCTGTGTTTTTCGTATCTGTATTGCAGGGGCTCTGATTTCCAACATCAGATGAGGCGCAGCTGGCCGATGTCGATCCCCCCCGGCCATCCCTGTCAAATAACAACATGCGGGGCACACGCGTTCACCTAGCAAATGCGTTTTGTACGAATCCACACCAAAGACTACAATGCGGGCCACGCACGCGCGCACATGTAGACATCCCGCCGAAGCCATTTATTTTCAATGTATTCTCAGCAGAGGCTATGAAAAACTATTGTTTTGCAGTAGCGAGTACTAGATTTCTGTAGGCGCGCACTCGCTGATCTCCTGAGGAAGAAGTAGGCTGTTTGCCTTTCTGTCGAAGGAGACCATGCGGATCACGCGAGCGCACATGTCGGAAACATTCGACAAGATCGCGCACTTGCAAGTTCTGTCAGCTCAAGTTGGCTCATGCTCCTACAAGTTCTGTATTGGCTCAAGTTGGCTCAAGCTCCTACACCCGCTCTGGAAATTTCCAACTTCAGCGATGCCGGCGGAAAAAACACCATATGGGAACTCCAGTAAGAAGTGTGCTTGAGCAGGCTAGGACAAGCAGCCCGCCACAGGACATGAACGTTGCTGCAGGAGCAGAAGTCGATCGCGATGGACCCTTACTACAGCGTTAGCGACACTTTCAAGAAAGCCTGGCAGCAGCAGCAGGACCCAGCTCAGAGCCCTTACAGCTGGAGGTTTCCAACAAATTCTGCGCACACAGCTGGACCCAATCCAGAAGGACAACACAGCATTCAAAACTCACAGCGTTTCGCAGCGAAACCTACAGGATGTACTTGGACCGATGAATCACGGCATCGATGACCTGACTAAGCGCATCGGGCGCTTGGAAGCCAACTATTCCTCGCAACCGGCGTCCGCGATAACATCATCTGGAGCATCAGTCGACACCACCGCGCAGAATAATATATTGGATCTTGAACGGGAAGTTGCACTTCTTCGGAATAGTGGTTATCGGCTTTCTTCCAGCATCGTGCGCACTACTGACAAGAGGGATGTCACGGCAGTTGTGGGGACTTTGGATGGGTATCTCATATAGAGGCGGCAACCGACTGGATGAAGCAGCGCCGCTTGCAGCGACTATCAGGGCCCGTTCCCAACAACGTGTACGCTGAAGGAGAGTTCCGGGATATCTTGTTCGTTGAGTTCGATGGTGCGGATGCAAGGAATGCAGCTGAAAGAGGAATGACAAAAACGTCTGGGCCACGCAAGATTCCCCTCCATTGGTTCGTGCTGCTCGTAATTTCTGTTTCGGTGTGCAATATGCGCTGAAGAACACGACGCGTATTGAGTACCCTATCCGCGTCGACGATACAGTACAGCCATTCACCGTCACTGTTGGTGGCCAACTTGTTTTCAGCGTGAACATCGAGATATTGTTACCAAAGAGTGGCACGCAGACTGGTGCCAGTGGAAGAATCATGATCACCCTAAGTTGTCTGAGCATACTTCCTCTTGCGATGGGATCGTTAGCCGGTCCGCGAATAACATCAAAGGAGGTGCAAAGGGTATTTCGAAGGTGGGCCAGTAGGATCCACGGCAGGCGCTGGCTGCTTGTACCACTCGGAGTCTTTCTACACCCAGCGCTGCATCCGTAATTACCCCATCGGGGTCCACTGCGCTACCGCCAGCGCTTTCTGCCAATGTCCGGGGGGGCGTTCCTGAAATGGGCAAATCTACCATATCAGGGTCTCCCTATCCAGGGCCCCGTCACGATGAGGATCGCGCTCGAAAACGCCCGGTGCCGGAACAGTCGCACTCTGCTGGAGGACTCACGGAACTGGGCAAATATACCATGCCAGAACATAGTTCAGCAGACGTTCAAGACAACGTGCTTCTCAATACACTTAGCAAGATAATTCAAGACATCGATTTGGACATGGATGCAGATACTCTGCGGACGACCCCTCCCTCCCATCTTCTTCTCGCTCCTTGCCCAGACGGCTGCTCCCAGGCAAGTTCTACGACGATTCATTTTGCTGCATGGAATGCGCGTGGCCTCGCAGATGTGAAACATGCCGAACTCGTTTTGCGCGTGCAGAAGATTAACATTGATGTGCCTTCAAGAGATAAAGACTGCAAATGCAGACGTGTATATGGTAGATGGATTTCAGAGTATACTTTATGGAGTGGACACTGCGGCGGGCACAATTTCCACGGGAGTCGACTTCGTCATGTCCACCAGAATACAGCCGCGCATGAAATCATATAAGCGGAGTTCCGACAGGATTGCGTCGGTACTCGCAGCAGCAAATGGTGGGTCCGTCGTCAGGCTAATTTATCAGCGTTTCAGCGCCACTGGCTTTGGACCAAGGAAGCAGCCGTTTTTTTTTCCGCGCGTACTTCCTTATCGTCCTCATGGGTACTTTCGTCATCATCATCGCCAACGCCATCATTGCCCTTGTCGTCATCATCACCATCATCTTTGCCACCATCGTCGTCATCATCACCACCGTGATCATCATCATAGTCGTCGTTATCGTCTCTGTCGCCGCCCTCGTTATTAGCGGCACCGCCATGATCATCGCTGCTGTCGTCGATGTCCTCGGCACCATCATCACTGCCCCGCCCGAGTCATATTCCTGCATGACGTGGGTCCTCGCGTCATCGTGCCATATGAGTTTTGCCAACAAGTTGCGGGTGGGTCGGTGGGATGTTTGCTCGGGAATTGGAGTTGACAGTTTCAATTTTGTCAACATTAATTCTGCTTTCTAAACACAGAATAGGATCTAACCCCCCCCGGCGTTCGCCGCCCCCATTTCGGGTATGTAAACCATCTATGATTCTGACCACATGTCCATCCTAAATATGAGTTTACACTATCCCGGAGGGGCCAGTATCGGTCCCCCTGAGGTTCCCTTGTAAAAAAACGATACGCGGGGACATCTTTTGTTCTAACATAGCACTTTTCCACGAATCCCTTGCAACAAATGGGACGAAGTGCGCACGCGCGCGTCGTCGCGCGCGCATGTCGAAATTCTTCAAAAACTTTCGGTGCTGGAAGGATGTCGCAATCGAGTTTCCAGAAAACATACAAAAGCAGATGGTTTCGCAACAATGATTTGCTAAAAAAGCTCACGCGCGAACTTTTGCGAAATCTAAAAAAAAACCGTAGGTTTTTCACGATTTTCACAACATGCTACCAAACGGGCTTCGCGCGCGCGCATGTCGAAATCTGCCGAACGCCCTTGCGCGTGTGCCGTCGCGAGAATTCCCTTGCAACAAATGGGACGAAGTGCAGACGCGCGCGTCGTCGCGCGCGTATGCCGGAATCCTTCAAAACCCATCGGTTTCGGAAGGATTTCAAAATCGTGTGTCCAAACAACCTACAAAAACACAAGGTTTCGCAACACGGATTTTCAACAAAAGCGTGCGCGCGCGCTCTTGCGTTGTCGTCGTCGTTGTCGTCGTCGCTGTCCTCCCTCCTCCCGCGTCGTCGTCGTCGTCGTCGTCGCCTACGTCGTCCTCTGTCTTTCCTCGTGTTCGTCGTCGTCGTCTTCTTTGGCGTCGTGGTCGTTTCCGTCGTCGTTGTCGCCGTGGTCGTCCTCCCTTCTCCTCCCTCGTCGTCGTCGTCGTCCGTCGTCGGCGTCTCGTCGTCGTAAATCCTATTTCGTCGCTGTCGTCGTCGTCGTCGTCTTCCCTCCTCCCTCGTCGTTGTCGTCGTCGGCGTCGCCGTCCTCCCTCCTTCTTCGTCGTTCGCGTCGTCGCCGTCCTCCCTCCTCCCTCGTCGTTGTCGTTGTCGTCGTTGTCGTCGTTGTCGCCGTCGTCGTTCTCCATCCTCCCTCGTCGTTGTCTTCGTTGGCGACGTCGTCGTCGTCTTCGTCGTCGTCGTCGGCGTCGGCGTCGTCGTCGTCTTCGTCGTCGTCGACGTCGGCGTCGTCGTCGTCGCCGCCGTCGTCGTCGTCGTCGTCGTCGTCGTCGT